AATAAATATTTTGATCATGAGACGTGGGTACCTTGCCCCCTTGCTAGAAGTGGGAGTGCTGTTTGTGTGCTTCTGCTGCGTGTTATCTGACTCTGAACAAAGTCTAGTCCCAAAAGAACATGTTGTCTGAAGGAGCCACGTGTGATTGATGGCTGTGGCATTAAAACTCATCATCTCCACCCTGTGTCTTGTCTCCCTGCTCCTTCTGCATGGTCGTGTTGCTAGTCTGCAACTAGTTCCATAGGATGACTGTGGAAAGAAGTGTATTTACATCATGACACAGATACACACTTGCGCTTAACTGAAAAAAGTTTCACGACACAGTATCAACCCTTGCCATGTGTAGTGTATTCTAAGATTTTTCTATTCTATTCAATTGTGTTCTGTTTCATTGGGAAAATAAAAATGCTGATCAAGACCCATGGAATTGATTTTGTGATTCATTAATGGGTTGTGATGCACAGTTAAAAATGAAGACTTTAGAGGGATTCACTAGTGGCTAAAGGAAAAACGAAAATGTATTTTCAAAATACAAGTCCCTTTTGGGGCTGGGGCTATAGCTCAGTGGGAGAGCATTTGCCTAGCACATGTGAGTCACTGGGTTCGATCCTTAGCACCTCATAAAAATATAACAAAATAAAGGCATGCTGTTCATCTACAACTACAAAGAAATTTTTTAAAAATCCCTTTAGTGAAATCACCTTATCCTCAAAAGTCTGTGTTGGCATCATGTACAACCACTAAGATGAGAAGTTATATTTCACGTATATCTGGTATGTCAAAATACATTCTACTGTCATGTATAACTAAAAAGAACAAATTTTTAAAAAAGTGTGTCAGTTTTGTGGGCTCGTCATTCAGAAGCCAGCTGTCTTCTTGTATTAAGAAGTTGGACTTCATGGACTCATGGGAAGGATAGCTTCACTCTGGATGATTCTAGAATACTAGCCCCTTCTATTGAAGTTGGAAGGATTATCTGCTCTATCAGAAGGATTACAGCCAGTTGAACATAGATCACAATTTCCATGTGCCAGAAATCTCCAACTGGTGGTTTTGTAGAATTTGGTGGGGTTGTTTCTTAAGAGGTTTAGTACTTAGGAGTTTCAAAATAGTATTTTAATAGGATCTGCTCCTTTCTAGGACTCCTATGAGTTATAAATTCCTAGCCTTGAAGGGTGATTGATATTTTAGGAGTCACCAAGTCTAGCCTTTGTCCCCCTGTGAAATATTCTCTTCTGTATTGTCCCTGACTCATTCCACCTGGGGTGGTGGTGGATTCCTTCCATACTTGGTGAGGCATCCTGTTCTGTTGATGGAGACCTTGGTTAAAAGGATCTTTTGCCTTGAACCAGAATTTGATTCATATTTGTCCTATTCCCCTGCTTTTAACCACAGTGAGTCTACTGGCATTTGCAATGGATGACGTTTCAAGTATGTGAAAGTAGCATTCATTCCTTGTTTCTGCTTTTCCACATGAGCCCCCTCTCCCCTCATTCTTCAGCATTTCTCAACAGGCTATAGTTTTTGGATCCTTCAGCATCTGGCTGGCATCACCTGCAGGTGTGTGACTGGCCTGGTGGATAGGGATGGACTGAAAGTGATCAGATGCTGTCATCTTCGTGCGTTCAGTTCTCATTTCCCTTTTACCAACATTTGTTCTTCCACTTTAAAGATGCTTATGATTTGTAGGGGAAGGAGCCAAAATAGATGTTGAATGAGTCTACCTTCTGTCAGTCTTCTATCATTTTCTCCAAATGTGGCTTTAACCCATCCTGCATGGGGATGACAGTACAGGCAGAACTTGGTTCTTGGGAGCAAGGAAAGTTGATATTAAAATCATTTGTGGCCCTCCAGAATACAGTCCTACCCAACCAAATCTTAGTGTTTAATTTCTCTTGCTCAAATCATTAAAAATCATTAAGAAACTGCTTTAAGCCTAAGTGTCCGTACCAAAGTGCTAAAATGTTATTATTAAAAAAATTTTTTAAAAGCCCAGTCTCAATGGGAGTTTGGTTTTCTTAATTCTAACCTATATTTTGGTCAGTATATCCCCCACTCTGTCCAGGGCTCTGTGTAAGTCTGGGGAAAGCTGCAGGACTTCTCAGGGCTGTGTGTGGTGAAGGTCAGATGCAGGACTACTAAGCAGATGGTCCCTGTACATGAGCAGGGCACTCGGACCTCTGAGTCATCCAATCTCTCAGGAGCACCATGGAGAAAGAAGTGAGGCAATGGATACCTAAAGCCCAAAGTAAAATAGTTGATACTGTAATTCATCATTACTGTTAATGAAATGAAGAGCCTTCATCAAGGTTCCTGGCGTAGGCCAAGCTTGTTCGGGCACAGGTCATCCACTGTCTTGTTTGCTGGTTGAAAAAATGAACAGATTTCAGCTTTCCATTCAGTGCCCAGGGACATCTCTTCTGGCCTCTCGCCTTCCTGCACTGATTTACAACTCACTGACAGGTCTGGCCCGCTGCTCCCCTGGTCCTTCCCCCAGCCTTGGGCTGGAAATGGCTGGAGTTGTGCCACTTTGACTCCTTCCTGAAGGGTCTGCAGAGGCAAGCCAGGATGACCAGTGCATAGCCTGGAGGTTGTCTGCATCCGCACCCAGGACCTTGAACTTGGAGAGCTCCCACAACAGTGCCTCACCACCACATGCCAGCTCTCCTCATCCTTTTAGTGCTCCTTTCTTGTCTGGGTTTTACTTCCTCTATCTGCCATTTGCTTCTGCAAAATCATCTACCTGCTTCTCAGAGTAGAGCACCAGGGCTTCCCAGTGACCTTCCTCAGCCTCACTCCTGGCCTTGAGAGGTGCCCTTGTCAGCAGGTAGCCAGAGGTAGAGTTAGTTACACTTGTGCACCATCCAACCTGCAGCTCAAGTGAAGCCACTTTGAACTCCATTTCCAGGGGCAAAGAAAACAGCCACATTCCAGGAAATGCATTTTCATTTTATTTAAAAATTATTTACAATTTATTGAGCCTTCATAAATGCTTTATTTTAAAATCTTTTTTTTTTTTTTTTTTAACCTGAAGAAAATACTTGGGGGTGGGGATAGGGAGAGGAGTGGTGACAAGCTCCTCAGGGGTTCTGCCAAGGGATAGGTACAAAGCAACAGGAGTGGGCTGAGCCTGGTGGAAGTCTGGCCAGGTAGGCCCCTGTGGGCCAGTGGCCAGCTGGGCAAGAAGACTGCAGGATGGCAGTTCTTGCTCAAAACTCACTATAAACAGTCTGGGTCTGAGGCAGCACTGAGGGCTTACCCTCTCTGTTCCAACCAGGCAAGAGCAGGTGAGGAGTAGGTGGCTGTGGAGTTAGCAAGAGAACACATGCATGCTGAGCCTCCAGCCAGGCCAGGCCAGGCCAGGGGTGTGTCAGTCAGTAATGCTTTGCTGGAAGAGGCAACTCCAGCTCAATTCTTTACTCCCACATGCTGTGGTCCTCCGGTCTGCAATACCTGTTCTGGTTTGGTGGGGGGTGATAGGCCAAAGTTATGTGGGATGGAGGTTGTATAATACTTTAGGGTGTGAATTTTTGAGGACTCCTGCTTCTTGGTAGATGCCAGCCTTTCCCATCAATTGAGGGACACTGGAGAAGACCACTTATAATTAAAAATGAACTGCCCAGTATTCACTCTGCATTGCAGAAAGGCTGGGCTGAAAGTTCCACTATTGAAAATAGTTTTTTAATTTTTATTTTTTAACCCTTGTGGGTCTGAGAACTTTGAGAAGTTTAAGCTTATGAAAACTTTCAACTCTCTGGAAAACATGAGAACACATACACTAAATTCTGACAGTTTTAAGACCTTCTGAAGGTTTCAGGAACCTTCTGAAGTCCAGCAATGGACCTCCCTGGGGTGATGGACCCCAGGTTAAGAACTCCTGAGTCAAAGGTTCCTGTGGGTAAGCATTTTCCTTTGAGATGCAAATAACCCAGAGGAATTGCTGGTCTCCTACTTCCCAGGAAACTGATTGACTGGGTGTAGAGAGGGAGTGGTGGTTTGGAGAAAGGGGAGGGAGGCTTGAATGGTGTGCAACAGGGAAATGCTTGGGAATGGTTTGAATATTCATCAGGCAGCACAAGATCATTGGGCCCTAACTAAGGGCTTTCGAATGGGTGGGGAATAGATTGGAAAGGCAGACAGGTGCCCCACAGACAAACTGCACTTACTTCCAAGATTTTCCTAAGCTTGTGGTGATTCCTGATCACAACTTGGAAGTGGGTATGTGCAGTCATTCTTCCACCTTGTGGTTCTCCTTAGAACTGCACGTGCCCCAACATTCAGGAGAAAACCCAGGTGTAGTTAAGTTCTTGGAATAAAGTACACTTAGCGACCTGCCAGTGTTTAGTAAGGGGTGGGGGAAATGGATGAAGAAGAAGAGTGATTCTTCAACATTCCTGTGTAATGCACACTGAAGTCCCATGCGCACATACATCCTTCTTGGCTGACCTGGGCACTCTTTGGTTTGTCATGGCTAAACTTGCTTTAATAGCTTAGAACTTTTCCATATCAGTTTTCTGTTTCGTTTTTCTTTTTTTCACTTAAAACCTGAAATTCCATCTCTGGCTCCCAGTTGGCTTTCTCCATTCACTGCTCCTCCTCTTCCAGAGCAGATTCATTGGTCGATTAATGCCTGTGGATTGGGAGCCAAAACAGATGTGTCCCTGGGAAAAACAGTGACTTGAGATTCCATCTTACATTCTTTCCAGTCCAGCTGAGACACACGTCTCCAGGCTGTGAAGCTGCTATCTAATAGGAACAGTCACTGACAATTTTCTGTGCTGTAACATTAATCACAGCCCAACACAGCTGAGTCCCATTCTCCAAAGTTCTGGAGAAATTATTGGTCCATTCCCTGAACTAATCTTCATACCTGCTACTCCAGCCTCCTTTGTGCCTATCTGCCAGTGGCACCTTCTGAGTTAAGCTAAGCATGAGATATGGCACGAAGTTATCATTTTTTTCTGGAGGAAAGAATGGTGAACCCCAAGACATGGGTCTGCTATGGCACAGGGGATCCCAAAGAACAAAGAAGAATGTCAGGGGTCCCAGAGTGGCATTGTCAGCTTGGAGGTCATCTCCCAGACTGTGCTATGGACAAGACCATTTCTAGCATGTTCCATTAGAGGCACCTTCTTCTGTCAAGGCTCTGAGTCAAACTGGAGGCAACAAGGAAAAATCTGCCAAAAAAAAAAAAACGACAGCTAGGGGTGAAGAGGTGGAAAGGAAGGCAGAAATGCTCTGTCACCTGCGGGAGGCCCTGGGGGAAGCAGATGATGGGCAGGGCCGGCCTTCCCCCAAAGCCCTGGACTCTCACACATCCAGCAAACGCTCTTTGTCTGGTCATGTGATCAGAGGTGTTAAATTGGAGTTTTCCTCAGAGGTTCTCTCCCCATCTGCTGACCTCTTCCTTTTTCGACCACCTGAAAAACACAGTCTGTGAGTCTGAATCTGCAGGCCCGAAGGGCATTCATTCTCCCTCAGTGGCCTGAGCTTTCTTCAAAATAGAAGCATAAATGGAGATAAAGCCCTTGAAGTTTGGCTGACACTCATCTGCATTCTATCCTGGTGCTGATATCAGTATATTTAAATCTTGAAGGATTAGGATGTACCTTCCACATAAAGTGACATTTCTGAAAAGCCACAAGCCCAACTATTGCCTACAATGGACATTTCTTGGAGGGGATTGGGTAAATGAAGCCCATGTAACACCTTGACATTGTGCCTTTCTTCCCCAGAAAGTCCAGCCCTAGTTACTTCCAGACACACTGGCTTAGAGAGGACTGGTCACACAGTATGGATGTTCCAGGAGCCCTGGTTGGTGGGCACAACTGAGAGTGACCCCCCAGGAACTCTAGTTCAGCACTGGGGAAGGTGGGGGTAATTACATAATCTCCCTCAAGGATGGACGAATCATTTTTTCCAGCTCTGTTGTTTTTGGAAGGATTATTTTCACGTTGTTCTCTCTGCCTTGATGTCTACTTATGGAAGATAAGAAATTCTTGGTCCATTCCCTGAACTAATCTTCATACCTGCTACTCCTTTTATGGAATCTCTTGAACACAAAGTTTTTCTTTAAAGGATTACATGGTAATTATTATAGACTTTGTGAACCGAACCTTACAGACTCCTGTCACAACTATTCAACCTTCACCCTTGCCACAGTGGCCACTAGAAACAAAGGATCTATGATCCAATGAGTCTTTTTTTTTTTTTAAACAAGTGAAGGTGGGAGGTCAAAATTTAACCCAGGAGCCTGGTCTGCAGACTCCTGACCTAGAGGACCACCAACTAAATGGGATGGATTCCTACACTACCAAGGTACAATACTGACCTGAGCCCTATTATGGATTTCCACAACTGTACTGCCTTGGAGTCAATGGCTTCTTTGGGAGGGAGATCCCAGTATGTTTTCCTACTAAACTGCAGCGTGGCTTAGGTCTGGATGAGGAGATACTCACTTAAGGTTCTCAGCAGCTTCTTGCCCATGGTTTCCTCAAAGTCACTACTGCAAGGGCTGGTCTCTGTGTCCAGGTTGATATTACAACATTCATTATCTGATGCTGAGAGAAAAGAAATGAGAGTGAACTCAAGTCAACCTCCACATTCAGGGATCAAGGCTGGAGGATTCTGGGTAATGTCCCTCAGCTTTAAGACAAGAACCAAGACCGGGTAGGTGTGACAAAGGAGGGATCCCAAGAAAGGTGTTGGCTCTGTTAGTTAGCAAGAGGCTTTTCAGTGCCACAAAGGGAGCAAAGAGACGGAGAATAGGCACAGGAATCCAACATTCCATGCCAAGTCAGAAATTATTCCCTCCTCAAACACATTTGAAGACGGGGAGGACAACCTCCTCCACTTGCACAAACCCTAGACAACTACAGGGCTCACTAACAACTGGACACATGCCCCTGGATTCTCCCTCATGACCAGTGGTTATTCAGAGAGCCACGGAATCTCAGAGCAGAGAAGGGGTCCAAGCCTTCCTATCAATGCAATAGGAATGGAGCTGGGGAAGTGGGGTGCTGTGCTGGCAACTGCACTGCACCCGAAGTTGTGGGGCTGATGGTGCAGCATGTGGACAGGTGTGAGTCATTCCCTTCACCTGGGCCTCAGGGGTTCTCATGTGTCACCCCAAGATGGTGGACTAGATGTTCTCCAAACCCTCCATTGCCTCCATACTTATTTCTTTGCTACGTTTTCTAGCTACATGCTTTAGCTAGTAAATTTGATGTTTGGGGGAGAAAAAGAACAACACTTCTAAATTCAGGTCCTAGACTGGTAACTACGTATGTCCCAGATTTTCCAGGTTAGTGTTCATGATCTCATTGACCTTAAAAACTGATATGCCTTTTCAGGTCATTGCTTTGGACTGATAGGTCTCTAGCACTGCAAACTGGGGTAGTCTCAAGGAGCAGGAGAGGAACTGTTGGCCTGGGGTGGGGAGGGGATGCTGCAAACTTGGTGAGGCAAGCACAGAAGGATCACAGGACTGCAGGGACACTGGGAGCTTGTCAAAGGGGGGTGATAGAACTGGAAACCTCAGGAACAAAGGAAGGGAAGAGTCCGCTCAGCAAGGTTGATGACTAATGTCATTTCCTAATCTGTAAGGCGGGTCTAATAATAACAACCTAATATTTATGGAAACACCCTGGTGTGCTCTTTAGATATGTTCATTATCTCATTTTTACAAAGCTACTTTATGAAATAGCTACTACAATTTATATCTACTATGATAAAAAAAAGGAATCTTTTACAACTTGCCTAAAATTGCAAAGTTCCTAAATAAAGGAGGCAGGGTCTGAGTCCAGGCAGGTTTTCCTGGGAGAATGAATTAGGCCAGGCTGGCATGGCAGGTGCTCTGTGTTAGTGTTTCCTTCATGGTTGTGTAAGGAGGAGAGAGTTTGGTTCAGGGGCTGGGGTCCTAGAGCTCCCCTCACCCAGCTTGCCCCTGGTCATCCTAGTCCCCTGGGGGCAGAGGCAGCGATCCCCCTTGCTCCTGGGGGCCCCTCCCTGACCTGCTGTTGTGGGAACGGCTGCAGGAGACAGGGAGAGTTGCTGTGTCCTCTGCTCCTCGAAGTCAGTCATTTCTTCTTGGGTGAAGGACATCTCCTCCATCCTCAGGTACACCACCTCGCCAGGGCTTCTCAGCCCATCAGAGCGGCTGCCTGGGGAATACAGTGAGCATATCACCTCTCTGCCTTGGAGGGCACCTGGGGCTTTGGGAGGCAGAAGATGGCAGCCCTGAGCAGGCCTAAGGGATGGAAGGCAGGGCCATCCTCACCCCACAGAAGCCCAGCCCATCCACCCGATTGACTTACATGGCAGGCTGGTCCTGTGGTTCAGGAGCGTGAGGGCAGGGTCATCCTTGGGGGTTTGGGGTGTGCCCCGGGTTGTGGGAGCCTTGGTGGAGTCTCCGTCAGTGAAGGCCTCCATGTCTGGAGACTGGGGCGAGCTGTCCATGTGGCAGGCTGTGAGTGCGTTCTGGTATTGCTGTCGTGTGACCTGGAAGGAAGCAAGCAGAAGCTCAGGAGAACTGAACAGAGTACTTCCCTGGATGCAGCCAGCTTTCCTGAGCTCACTAGTTACTCCTTTGGGGTACTTGGAACCCCTGAGATATGTGAACTAGGGGTCTTACCAAAGCTGTACCAGCCCAGCAGCTGCAACATGGGGCTGTTTGTTTGCCACCAGTCCCCACTGTTCATTTTTATTAGCTTCACACTTTATAGTGCATCTGAAGAAGACTAAGTTTATTTTGTGTTGCTATAATAGAATACCTAAGTCTGGATACTTTATAAAGAAAAGAGGTTTATTTAGTTCAATGTTCTGGTGGCTGGAAAGTCCAAACAGCATGGTGCTGGCATCTAGCAAGGGATTCCCTGGCTACTTCACAATTTGGTAGAGAAGCAGAAAGGAAAATGGCTGAGTACACAAGGGGCCAAGCACATGGTGTGATCTTGCCTTAATACAACTTGCTCTCACAGAAAATAACCCATCCTGAGAGAGTCCTACATTAATCCCTTCCATGGGTGGTAACCCCATTTCCTAATCACTTTCCACTAGGCCCCACCTTTTAAAAAAAGTCCACCACCTCTCAATACATTACATTGGGGATCAAGGTTCCAGCACATGAAGCTTTGAGGGATACCCCAAGCCAAACCCAAATCATAGCACACAGTTTATGTAAAACTGTCCAAAATCAGTGACTCTCAAACTTCAGCATCAGAACCACTTGAAGGGCTTGTTAAATAAGATTGCTGAGCCTAACAGTTTCTAATTCCCTTGGTCTGAGGTAGAAACAGAATTTGCATTTCAAACAAAGATCCCGGTGATGCTAATGCTGCTGGAGATAGAAACCAAGGACTTGAGACCTACTTAAAATCAGACACAGGTCCCACTCAAGTTTTTTGTTTTTTCCCTCCGAGGAATTTAAAGGATAAAGTAGCAGAATGTTAGTAACTGGTGTTGATATTTTTCAGTTCAAAACTGTAGGTTCTATGCTTTATAAATGCTGGCATTTGTCCAAAGTCTTCAACAGGTTGGTTCAGTGTTCTTTTTTTTTTTTAAGTTGTATATGGACATAATACCTTTATTTTATTTGTTTTAATTTTAAGTGGTGCTGGGGATCGAACCCAGTGCCTCACACATGCTAGGTAAGCACTCTACCATTGAGCCACAATGCCAGCCCCCAGTATTCTTTTTTAAAAAATATATATGTATATATATATGTATATATGTATGTATGTGTGTGTGTGTATATATATATATATATATAAATATATATATATATAACATATATATATATTTAGTTGTAGGTGGACACAATACCTTTATTTAGTATTTTTATGTGGCATGAGGGATCGAACCCAGTGCCTCACATGAGTTAGGCAAGTGCTTTACCCCTGAGCCACAACCCAGCCCAGTTCAGTGTTCTTGAGGACACCTCACATGTGTGAGGCACTGGTTTGATCCTCAGCACCACACAAAAATATATAAATAAAGTAAAGGTATGGTGTCCATCTACAACTAAAAAAAAAAATTTTTTTTTTCTTGAAGCAAGCTCTGAATTACAAAGGACAAGTAGGTCTGCTTATCTAGAAATTAACAAAAAATAAGGTTAACCTTTTTGAACATTTTGACTTGGCAGCTGAGTTGCTGGAGAAGTTAACCTTGAGGCTAGTGTGTGATGTCTCCTGTAATTTTAGGATGTTTTGTTTGAACTTTCAACTTTCACGTGGTTTATTTCTCCCTCTAAATACAATCCTGCAATATAGGGATCCCGCCACCAGATGGTGATGGGGTATTTTGGTCAAATCACACAATCCAGACTGTAAGACAACTGCCAAATATTCTTAGTTTATAATAATACTTACACTACATTATATATATATATAATATGTATATATTATATATATAGATATATAATATATATTTTAGATATATACATATCTCCTCATAAGGGTTCTTTGGTACCTTCATAACTTCATCAACAGAGGCAGGACCACCACCCCAGATTAAAACCCCAGACTGAAGCTTCTTTTTTTGTTTGTTTTTGGCTGCCTAATTGGAAGGCCCCACTCACACCCGGATGCCCAGACATTTGTTGCTGCCCCAGGCTTCCTTCACTACCCTAACATTAGTCAACTCCAAAGAGTTGTTTTAAACCCAAGTAATTCTTTTGTTTTAAGGAACAAATACAGGACAAACTCAGCTTAACAAACACATTAGATCATCCCATTATGGGAACAAGAGATTAAAATTGTACACCTTCGATTGAGCCAGAGAAAGAGAACAGTCAACTCCCCAATGAAAGATTAGTTTCTCACCAAAACACTATAAAGCCCCCAGGCAGAAAGGCCCCAACAGTACTCTCAGAGGGACCTCTTCCATGCTGTGGGAGCTTTCCTTGCTTGTTTCTAATAAATGTGCTACTGAATTCTCACCCTCAGACTTTTGCATACTTCATTCTTTGAATGTATGAGATAAGAACCCTCCATTGAGTAACATGTCAGTTCATTAATTACTATTAGTCATGGCTGTGTTTAAAACTTTTCCCAGATAATCACTAGATGCACCTTTCTATTTAATTTTGTAACTTATCTTGAAATCAAATCACTCCTGGATTTTGACACTTCTGGAATTTCAGTTCATTGGACTCAGAGAGCCCCCATGGACCCTTCCTGCAGCCAGCAGCAGGGGCTTGGGCAGGGAAAACATTTCTCAAAACTCTTCTTGGAGTACAAAAGGAGGAAGCCTAAACAATGGCCCTGACAAAGCCAATTAAATCAAGAGGAGGTGATTTGCATCTTTATATAAGGTATTTTTTATTAAAAATCAAAAGAGAAAAATCAAACCAAAACAAACACATGTGTTAAAACAAGAGCTCTGAACTCACAAAGTTCCCCTGTGTAGGACTACAATTATAGTCAAAGTTTTTAAGGGAAGGAAGCCACAAGTTTGAAGAGGTTTCTGAATATGCTTTAATTGGCTAATGTGCTCAACTTCAAGATGCGTGGGTAGGCTCAGATCACAGCAAGGCCCTTTGATCTAACAAAAGGACAAACACCTGATCGAGAAGGGCCCTCTTATTTGAGGTTTCCCAATACTACTGCTGTCTCACATCCTTGTTATTTGTAGACTATTCCTTTTCTTATGTTCTAGGGGTGGAGATACAGGGTCATTTGTAAGTGTTACGAAAATCCTTCCAGCTTCTTGCAAGGTATTTGTCAGAGCACATTCCTCCTTGAGGAGGGGACAAAACCAACCTCCCCAAAGTACTCTCCAACCTATGCAAGTCTAGTAATGTCTTGGAAAATCGTATGACTTTCTGAACTTAGGATGTAAATGATGTTATGGTCTGGATGTTTGTGTCTCCTCCTACTCCAAAAAGAACGTCTCTGTTGAAACCCAATTCCCCATTTGAGATTATTTGGAAGTGGGGCCTTGAAAGGTAACTAGGTCCTGAGGTGGAGCCTCATGGGTGGGATGAGTGCCCTCTAAGAAGAAGGTGGCTCCTTTCCTTTTTCTGCTTTCCATCACGTGAGGACACAGTGAGAAGGCTAGATCTGCTGGCACCTTGGTCTGGGACTTCCCAGCCTCCAGAACAGTGTGACAAAAAAAAAAAAAAAAAAATTTTTTTTTTCTTTCTTTAAGTCACCCAGTCAATTGTAATTTCTTATAGCATACTGACATGACTGTGACAATTGGAAAGACCCAAGAAATAAAGTTAACAAAAATTCCCAATGTACTTGCTCACTACGGGCCAGCTCTCAGATCTTCCACCTACAAAACTTCTCCCTGTCTCTTGTTTTCATCTTGAACATTCTCCTCACCTCCCTTGTCAAGCCTCAGCAAAAGTGTCCTTTTCTCGGCCTGCTCTGATAGCCATTTCAAAAGCAGAGGCCTCCTCTGTTCTCTGGTCTCCCCTGAAGATCACTGTTTACCCACAACCCTATTTCCTTCATGGCTTTTATTTCGACCTGAACTCCCCTAGGTTATTTATGGGGTCCCTGTCTATCATTTTCTTCCCCTATTGTCACATAAGCTCCAGAATGGCAGCCACTTGCTGTCTTTGCCAGTTTCTCAGTGACAAGTGCAGAGAGGATGTTGATTAGATATTTATTGAATCACATACTTATATTTGGCTTTCCCTTCCTTTTCCTACAAGCCATGCCCCATAGAAACCAATAAAAGCTGGCACATTAAGAATTCCCTTCTTCCATTTCCCCTACTCCACCTCCAAGAACTGTCTGCAGTAACTATGAAAAGCCTTATAGCCTGGAAGCCACCAGGAGCAGAGTCAGGAGCTATGGCTTTTTAAGGTTTAACCTGCTAGTCTCATTAGACTTGTTAAAGGTCATCACACGCACCTGTGAGTACTGCTCAGCTGGTTCTCCGTCACCTCTCTCTGCCTCTGATTTCCTACAACTCTCCCTAAAGCCACAGCATCTTATGCTCTTCAAGCCTCAATTTCCTTATCAGTACAGTGGGAGTGACAGGAGTCCCTACCTCACAGGCTGGCAGGAGAGGGCAAGGATAATTCAAAGGACTCAGTAAAGTTTCTTGCACCCCACCCCCCACACACAATAGTTAATATCCCAACCCCTTTTCCATTAGTCACTGCCCATGGGTACTTCTTTTCATGGCTATGTTTATCCGCTGATGTGTTAGTTCAGGGTGTTGGCAGAGTTCCGGAACCCAGCTAGCCAGCCAGCACACACCATTCCAAATAATCAGGGTGGGTGTTCTGGACACTCGGAAAGGAACTTCTCCCATTCGTGTGACTTCAGTACCCTTCCCATCCAGCCCAACACTGGGACAACATTACCAAGTGGACTCACTGAGTGTTTTGTTGGACTGGGATAAGTGGGACTTTAGCCAAGATCTCAGTCCAAAGTTTGTAATTGTTTGCTGAATGCTAGAAAAACAAAACAATAAAACCTAGTGAAGCAAGAGAAAGGAGGATAATTTAAAAGACTTCTGTATAGTACCAACCCCCATGAAAGGTATGAAGAAATAGCTCCCTCCTCTTAACTGCACGGCAAGGAGCACGGCTGCCTCACCCGGCAGCCTGTGCAGAGGGGGGTTTCTTAATAGCTCAGTGAAGCTAAGCTGATGTTAATTGTTCTTACAAGGGATTTCCCGTTAACACACACTTTAAATATTTAGTTGCAAAAATATACTATTATACCTATAAATATATTATCATATAAAAACAGCACAGTTTCTTCTAAACACTTGGCTTATAAATCACCTGCAAATTGATCTTGAAAAAAAAAATGAGTGAAATTAACCTGGTGTCAGTGGTAGGGGATCCAAAGGAAATAGTTCTGTCTCAGGCAAAGCTGATTTCGCATCGCTTTGTGCCTCAGTTTCTCCATATGAAAAACAGGGATCAAGAGATCTTTCAAAAGTGACAACCACAATAAAGCTCCCTGAGAGCAGGGTCTTTATAAAGCCAAGGAGCTGCCACGCAGCATTATGCTGGAATAGGGAGACTGGGATGCATATTATGCCTGAGCCTGGGGGACTCCTGGTCCAGCTCCCCCAGCTGACCCTGCCCACTGGGAGAGGGACAGGTACTGCCCCCCCGGGGGGAGTTACCTTCACAAACTGCACATCGCTGAGAATGTGGACGGAGTAGTCGGGCGTGTACAGGTTGTTGCTGCTGCTGTACAGCTGGGTGTTGCTCCCACCAAAGTCACTGCGCTCTCGATTTGGAGACTCAGAGCGATTCAAGCCGCTGCAGCGAGAAGGGGACCGGTTTACTGCAGATGGTGAGGAAGGAGGAGAGGAGAGAAAAGACAAGGAGGGGTGGGTGGGTGGGGAGAAAGGAGAAGGAATGGAAAGAGGGAGAGAGAGAAAGGTGCTGTTCACTGAGGTCCCATGGGACTATGAGGCAAATGGTAATTCCGGGTGGTGGGAAGGTGATCTCACTTTCCCATCAGTCCAGGATGGAGCTGAGCTGCTTTGCTGGTGTGGGTTCCTGGGAGAAACAAATCCTACCCCCATGACCTCGTGAATGAAGAGCTGGGGCATTTATTTCCCGGAGCAGCAGGCAGATGGAGGTCTACTGCCTTTCCTAGATCTTGTTTTCAGGGCGGGGGCAGGAGGACCCCCAAATGCATGAAGTGCTGTGAGCATGGTTTGCTGTCCCAGCCCATGAGCCCCTCTACTGTGGTGAGGCCCTGTATGTAATCCCTTATTTAGGAAAGGCCAAGGCCTTAGGTTTGCCCTCAAACCATCTGTCACAGCATGGACAGCCACTTCTTCTTATGGGGATACGTTTTATTGGGGTTAATTCAAGGTCTGCCCCAACGTTAGCAGGGCCTAGGACAAGAGTACAGAGGCCCACAAACAATACCGATATTTACAAATCATAAGACACATGACTAAACTGTTGAAATGTTGTATCCTTGTCCTTGACAAATGTTCATAGCAATCTGTAAGGCCAGTTTGTCTCCTTGGAGTTTTATAGTTGAATAGAGGGAGAGCCTGCCCCTTGCCCTAGGGTTTCTGGACCTACTCACTATCCCCACGACTGTTTGGGTGGGGAATTCTGGGATCCTGGGTATCTGAAACTTGGAAGCAGGAAGAACATAGGCTCTGGGTGGCACATCCTTAGCCTGTGAACTCCTTGCCTCCCTAGAGGGACAAGACTGATAAGGGCCAAAGTGGGGCCCTTGAAAGTGTGGGTCTGGACAGGGCTTGTTGTTGCACAGGCCTGTGTGTGGACTGGGATAATCCACAGGCTTTCTAGCCAAGACCTTAATATTCAATCAGCTTGTTTTTACATTTTTAAGAAATACTTTTTGGGAAAGTTCAATGAATACCATGTCACTTGGTTTCAAAATGGACTCTGTGAGCTACCCTCCCCAAGATCAATGGAAGAGAATGCCGAAGGTGACCCTAGCATTACCTGGAACATAGAACAACCCCAGTGACAGACTGTGAAGCACCCGCCTCCACTTCCCAACTAATCACTGTGTACTTTCAAAAATGGGGAACAGGAAGCTGTACGTCTCTTCTAAGATAGATTTAGTTCAGGGGGTCTCAAATGAAGAACCAAATTCTTCAGAGAATATGGGGATTTAATTCTGTCTCTTGAAACAATGCTGCTATCAATCAAAATACTTGAATAGAACCTATTTGGAGTGAGTCACGGCGGCTGACAATCTGTTTAGCTGCCAAACTGTTATTGTCTGGCAAACTATGTAGCAGGAAGATTAAAATAACAATAGGTTGATCATTTTCTTGTTAGAACCATAATAATTACTGCCTTAGTATGCCTTAGAATGAAGGATTCCACTTCCATCTTACAATTCTCAGTGAATGTCATTCACCTATGTGCTTTTGTTAACTCAGAAACCTGGGAGTCACCCCTGACTCCTGCCATCTTCATTTCCAACACAAGTCCATCTCATTAATCTCTCTCCAGTAAAGCCCAGTTTCCAACACCTTCACCTGGACCACACTCTCATCTCCCCGCTTATCATCTTTTACAGTCATCCCCCTTATCTGAGGGGGATACATCCCAAGACCTCCAGTGGATGCCTGAAACTACCAATGGTACCAAACCTGATAAATGCCATGTTTTGTCCTATACATACACACTCATGATAAAGTTTAATTTATAAATTAGATTCAATAAGAGATTAGCAGTTATCTCCATTTATTAACCCATAAAATAGAACAATTATAATAATAGTCTATGATGAAAGTTATTTAAAACTTGTGAATTGTTTATTTCTAGAATTTTCCATTTAATATTTATGGACTGAGTAAATGAAATGGTGCACAGAGAAACTGCAGATGAAAGGGACCACTGGGTTCTATTTTCACCTCAGCTGTCAGAATCATATTTTTAAAACACAAATTAGCTTCCTATTTTATCTGAATAAACCCAAACTTCTCGCTGTGGCACCTGAAGACCCCAGACTTGGTCCTTGCTTTCTTGCCCGGGTCTCCTCTCGGCGGCCCTTCCCCTCCCCTGCTTTGCTCTAGCCCCTGGTCTTTGGGCCTCTTCAACCATGCAAGCTTCTCCCACCTCAGCAGATCCCCCCATCCCCCCACCCACTGCCAAGGCTGCTTGTTTCTCAGGCCCTGGCTGTCACTGAGACGCTGCCGTCTTCTCTGAAGACCTTGTCTGGCCATCCTTTGAAGATTCCCGTTTTCTTCTTTCACTGCCCCTGTCATTCCTTCAAGCATTTAGTTAATTACACATTTATACTTATACATCAGGTCTACTTAGCTCTCGATTCTTGAGTGCAGAGATCCTGTCCTTTCTGATCAGTAACAGTGTAGTGCCTACCTAGCCGGTGCCAGGCCTGGGGGAGATATTCAAGGAAAATTTATGGAATGAACAAATCTGTTTCTTTGAGGAGTCTTAATTTAGAATATAAATTTTGCTTTGTTTTTAAAAAAGATTTCAGAGTTCTCAAGTCATCCTGGAGTTGGAAAGCCTTTTCTCTGAAGGACAGAGTCATTCTGGGGAAACTGACCTTTCCAGGAAGCTGGGGTGGGAGCAGGACACCAGGAACACAGCTGTACAGAGTTAAATTGTGTGTAACCAGAATCCAAGAAGCCTCAGGCGTTGGCCCAGTAACTTGAGGGGGAGGCAACAGGGGAAGGACTCTGTTTGTTTGTCTGTTTAAGAGCAGCTTGTAAATCAGGAGTCCTGAGTTGATGTGAAGGGCCTGCTTATCCACTGGGTGAGGGGCACCAGGCCCTCCTTCAGAGGGCCTGAGGACTGACAGGACAGACCCAGTGCCACAGAGTACATAGTGAAGCACCAAGAAGGGTAGGTGGTGATAGTGTTGGGCAGACACTGGGGCACTCCATTCTTGGTCCTGGTGCCTTGAAAACAAATTGATGAGTTCTGGCTTGGCTAGACACATTTTTGGGTGTTCAGAGTGATGGCTGGCTAAGAAAGTCGGTGTTCTCTCCTCCAGGGTAGCTGTGGAAGTGGGCTGGCAGCCTCCCAGGAGAGCAGTTTCTTTGGCTTATGAGTGGAGTCTGGAAAATTGGACCCTGACCCAGTGAATTTTGGCCTCAACTCAGTTTGGTCATGACCTAAGGGAGAGGACATGAGAAGGGCCTATGGTTTCAGTTATCTGAGAAAGCCCAATCTCACCTTCATCCTCCACTTTGCCTGGCTGGACACGGGACTCACATACACCACGCCTACTGGTCCATACCTATGTCCCTTATGTCATGACTCAAGATGTACTCAGGGAGGATGGCGGGGAAACTGCCCTGTTTTATCTACTACGCTCTTTCCATCCACAGAAGCTTCTGCATGATCACTTCCACTTCTAGTTGGAAACCGAGGTGACAACTACATCCCAGTTCCCCATAAAGCTCTCATCGTCTCCTGGGCACCCTGAAAAGATAGGCCATCTTGCTGCCACTCATGAGAACTCACAAATCAAACACAAGCTACCTCCCTGTTGTGTTAGAAGGAGAAACATCTCTCTCTCTCTCTCTCTCTTTTAAGTAAATACACTATTGAAGATTTATTCATAAAATCCCAAAGGGTTTCCAATACCAAAAAAATACAACTGTCTTATGAAGGTCAGCTTTATATAAGAAAATTTTAAAAGAAAAAGGAACCTTCGTTCCGTGACAAAGAACGTCTCGGCTCATCCGAGTGTTGTGCAAGATCAATGTCTCATGTCCCAAAGCCTGACATTCCTCAATAGGTAGGATGCTGATGACTCGGCAGTTTGTAATTGTGCACATACACTCAGAGGTCTCTGAGCGAGGGAAATGGAAATGGAAATGCTTTTAATAAAAACAGAGAAGAAATCAGTAACAGACGAGTGTCCCAGCAGCATGGCAAACTAGTTCAAGTTGTATAATTCCCCTTGGCATTTTCGAAGAGCATGGAGGCACAGCTTGGGGGGTGAAGCAACAAGGAAAATCCTAAGTACAGTGCAAGGATTTCTGAAAGAAGACGGATTGAACAGCAATGCATAAAACCCACCACAGTTCCTGTCAATGGAAGGTAAGCCAGGCAGCCAATATGTCCCTGGCGTGCTCTTGCTCTTACAATACACCTTCAATATACACTCTGGTGTGACTGGGTGGTAGGTGGGCAGGATTTTTTGCTCTGGACCCCTAGCTGCTGTGGAGGTTTGGCAGATCACATTCTTGTAGCCTTTAAGTAGTTAGTCTTCAAGAGATAGGTGTCCAGGCTGGCAGCTTGAAGTTACTGAGGTTAGGTAAAGACACTGGGGTAAAATTGGGGGAGGAGAGGAGGTGGGATGGAAAAGGGTTTCACACTGGAATTGAGGCCAGATGGAATCTCACTCTGCACTAATATGCAGGGGCCACAAAACTTAAAGCTCTGGGACTCCTGTTTTACTTGTGACACCTTATTCAAGGAGCCTTCACAACCCTCTCCAGGAAACAGGACCCAAGACACAGAATTAGAATGCCTGACTGTTCCTTAGGTATGAGGATCTGAGGCAAAAGAAGGGCCCAGTGGCTGCCTGTCTACTTCTTTTGAAACATCAGTGAGGGATCGGGGGCACAGCTTCCTTTGGTCATGGTCACTGTGCCATGGGCCATCTGTGTTCTCCGAATCGGAAGGGGTATTTAATTACATAGGCTGATAAGAGAACAAACTGGGATTATTAAAATTCATCATCCTGTGGTAGTATTCAACATCAGACAACCAAATGCCCAAAGCCAGGCCTCTGTCAAAGCTCAATGTGAACTCAGCAAGTCAGCCCAAGTTACGATCCCAGATGAACTCGCTCACATT